GGAGCAGCTGAGGCGGCGGGAGCGGGAGCTGAGATCGCAGCAGATCTTGATGGGTAAGTTCGAGGACCTGAGAACCAATTACTCCTCCATTAGATCCGAAATTCAGTCCACGATCGATGAAATCAATCAGTGTTTAGAGATTATCGATGTCAGAGATGATGATGATGGTGATGTTTGCACTGATGGAGGAGAGGAGAAGGAGGAGGAGTTTGTTTCGATGGAACTGCGTGAGATTAGATCGAGGTCGCTGAAGGAGGGGAGGAGAGTGAGGGAGAATAGCGAGAATTGGCCGGTTTTTGATGCGATTAGGGAGCTTTATAAGCTTCTTGTTTCGAGGCATCTGGTGAGCGTGCAGGATTGGATATCTGTGCTTGTCAGAGTTGATGTGAATGATGATAAAAGGTTTAGGGACGTCGCGTTGAAGGAGTTTATTGATTTTAGGATTCTTATTCGATCGGTTAAGAAGAAGTGTGATGAGTTAGGGTGTGTTTTAGATGAGAAACCAGTTTCGAGAGGGGGGGAGGAGGAGGAGGAGGATTTGTGGGAGGAGGGCAAAATCGAAGCTTATTCTGTGGAAAATGCAAATAAAGAGAAAGGAAAGGGGAAGAATGTGGACACTGGTTCTTGTTCCACGTCCAAGAATAATAGCGAGTCCCACTCAAGTTCGACGTCACTGAGATCGAAGCTTATTGCTGAAGCTCCGGTTGTGGATTGGAGTTTGTCCTTGGATGACTGGGGTTCGAACCGAGATGCTTTGGCTAATCAGAGGGGATTAGAACTCGATAGCCATTGGGGTAGAGTGGATCCTGATGCTGTCATTCCTGCAGAAAAGATCGCGGAGCTTAGACTACACTGTACGGTGTATAAAGAAGAGACCACCGAGATCCAACCTTGCCTTGCTCCTCTGAGAAAAGGCGGGCTATGCCAGAGGAGAGATATGAGGATTTGCCCTTTTCATGGGCCTATTGTTCCTCGAGATGCTAAGGGGAACCCGATAGAACAAAAGAGGGAGGAGACTCCAAGAGAATCTGAAAGAGAGGGCTCCGTTGAGGCAACTGATGAATTTCTTGATTTGGGTGATGTGGAGACTTTTTCTTCTGAGAAATTGGCTAAACAAGCAGTGAAGAATGTGAGGGAAAGGGATAGAGAGGCTGTTAATGCAATGAAGCGAGCTAAACTTGCAAAAATTCGAGAGCACAATGAAGCAGTGTTACGAGAATCTGCTATTGCTTCGACTTCATACTCTGAGAATTTTGGAGAGAATCAAGACCCATCATCAGTTCAGGCCAAGAAACCGACACTGGCATCCATGTTGAAAAAGAAAGTTACAACAAAGGACAGGTTAGCAAAGAGGCTTTTGAATACGCGTGCAAGGGATTCTTCAAGCAGGCAAGTTACACAAGGGGAGGATTCAAAGTATAGAGAAGCTTTTCCAAACCAATGGTAGGGGAACCCAATTTCTTATTTATTGAAATATATGCTCTTTCAGGTATTGAAGTCAAAGATTTTACTTTTTTATTAATTTTCCTCTCATGCTTGTAAGTATTTTGTAGAAAACCTCATATTTTCTCCTTTTTTTTTGATTCACTGGCGAAGATTTGTCTTCGTTCTTCTTCCTTTATGTAAACTAACATTACATCTTTCATTTCTGAAATTGTTCTTCTTCCTTTATGTAAACTAACAAGAGAAAAAGCAACTTCATTACTTGGAAAGAGACTTCTTTCAAGAGAAAAAGCAACTTCATTACTTGAAATACATTCTTTGGATATTTGCTCGGCATGTTTGATGCTTTTTGCTCTCACTTTTGCAGGATCCGGTTTTTTAATTGGGCATTTCATATTTAGTCTTGATTCAATGGTTAGGTCAGAACATATTTTTTCCCCCCGAATGGATTACATTTGAATGCTAGTATGAGCTAGTTGTCAATCCTCCAAAGTAATTATATATTCAGATACTTTCATTTCAATAAACTGGAAACTGAATACATGTAGTTTACTTGAGAATATCTGTCGCGTGGGTGAAATCTTTTCAAACATTACACAATTCTTTAAATACATTCCTTTTGATATCGACATGATACAACGAGCCATGGCAAATCGTTTTTATGCTTCTCAGAGGGTAAAAGCAGACTGCTTCCATATTTGTGGTATATACTTCTTACATCTCCACTGTGTATCTGTGTATGCTTTCGTTAGTTTTTTATTTTGAGTGGTGCTCGTTGTAAAAGATCAAGAGCATGTTTGGCAATTTTGGATTATAATCCAGTAATGGATTACAATCCATGTGATTATGATTCATAGTGATTGGTAAATTTAGTGGATTATAATCTATTTCTAATAGTAAAGTGTTTGGCAAGTAGATGGATTATAATCTATCATTGTTGTCAAAATAACCAAAAAGACATCTTATAATCCACCAAAAGGACTAGTGTGCACCCTGTGCAAAGCACGGCCCCCCTTTTTTATTTCTGCTACAATAATTTTGTTTTTAAAGGCTACAGTATTTTTTGTAAAGTGCCACAGTAACATTTTTTAAAAACGATGTATTATCCAGCCTGTGCTACAACAATAATGCTACAGTAATAATGTTAACCGTTACAAGCTATTTGTGCTACAATAATTTACTTTAACGTTTACTGTAGCATGAATAGTGAAATTTTAGATCCTCCAATTATTATAGAGCAATATATATAGCTTGGAATTTTGTGAAATGATGAGGGAGTATATGTCTTTTACTTGGTCAAACCTTGTGGCTTATAATCCACAAGAAAATAAGCTAGGGTACGATAGCTTATTTTTAGGTGGTGGCTTATAAGCCACTTTGACTATTTGCGAAACGTGCTCTGAGTGAAGTACCACCGTTGATATCCCAGGACATTGATCGGCTAGTGAAGTGCATATATTTATTGCACAATATCCAGATTGATTGAAGTTTATACGATTCACTTACCAAACTAGAATATCCTGGGGATTGATTGAAGTTTATATAGTTGTTGCAATCACCTATAAAACCATTATCATGGTTGGTTTGATATTTTATCAGGTATATTTCTCTGAGTGATGATGGGCGGGGTAAGATTTCTTTCTTGTGAATTATTACATACGGATATCAGCTTTGATATACTATCAAGGCTTGTTTGAATGGTCTTCTCCGTGCATGTGGTGTTATGCACTTAAATTTCATACAAATATTCTGTGCTTTGCTTAGTTCTCACCGCACTCTCTTCATGTATTTCTCTGTGAAGAGACACAAGCTGGCAAATTGCAATTGTAACTCAAGCACAAGCGATACAACAAAAAAACCCAAGCGATACAAAAAAAAATAAAATAAAAAAAACCCAAGCAATACCTTGGTGAAATCTATATACCAGGC